CTCTCTCTCTCTCTCTCTCTCTTTCTCTCTCTCTCATTTCTTGTTCTCTTCCATTTTCCTCCTTTCTATCTTTTAATTGTCTGCTCTGTTTCTTTCTTTTTTCTTTTTTCCTTCTTCTTTTTCTTCCTTTTGAAAAGGAAACCAAAAAAAATGTTTATCGATAGCCTACTGATTCAGTTTTATCGCATACAGATATATTCAAAATTATATGTAGGAGATGGCTGGCTTTCCCTGGGATGTGTAAGCCCATGGGGTCAGTTATAGCGGTCCTCTCGAGAGAGTTTTCGTGTGATAAGGCCCCATTCAGTTAGAGAGACACATTGACTCTCCAATCAACAACACTAGGACAACGTTGGGGCTGACTGTGATAAGCAGACTGTGGTAAATAAAGATGCATTAACAATACATGAATTAGATTGAACCAGACGACGATGTTCCGTTTTTATCTGTCTGCCGTCTATCTCCAAATTGATCTAAATCGTGTCAATTCGATTGAGTGGTAAAACATTAACAAAAAAAATTAGATCACTTTACCTTTTTTAGATAGTTTTTGTAGATGGTTTTACTTCCAATTGACAAAATTTAGATAATTTAGAAGGCGAGCTTCGACCACGATCTAACGATTAAAGTTCTCCCCACTTAGGAATCGAACTCGCGTCTCCTGTGTGCAACGGCGAAGCGAGTAAGCACTACACCACAAACGCTGACGGATAGTAAATCCCTCGTAAGCTTATACAAATTCTGCTGTGACGCAACCTTTTGCGACAAAGGGAATGATACGTGAACGAATGAAAGAACGGATATATACAAAAGAGAGTACCATAAACTTGTATTGATATCCTAGATGGTACACTTTCGCTGTGTAACGCACCATTTGAGCCAAATGAGGTGCGACGAGGAAGGATGCCGCGCGCACTAGACTATAGCGAGACTAGTGTTTTACCCTTCATTTGGGCGTAAGGGCATGGCCCTAGGAGGTGCTCACATCTTGCAGCGAAGGTTTAGTTAAATAGATAATGAAGAGCGACGGCCATGACAGTGCGCAGTCTAGAAGTACATATCTGTGCCAAAACCAAACACTGCTCTATATAATGTAATAAAACCACTACGTCTTCCCTCAGACTCTACCAAGGTCTCCGTAATGTTACTATCTACTCGCTTTTTTCCTTGCGGTGCCTGTGGTGTAGTGTTTAGGTGCTTCTGTGTCGTACACAGAAGACTCGAGTTCGATTCCCGTGTGAGTGAAAATTTTCATCAAAGACTATCAGTCAAGGTCGTTTTAATTGAGACGTCGTATTCCTCTCAGCCCGGGTTAGCCCTTACAGGCAGAGTCGAAGCTCGCCTCCTAAATGATCTGAGTTGTGTCAATGGGGGGTGTTAAACATCTACATTAAAAAACAATATCACTCTTTCCTGAGCCCACTCCAAAAACAAAACAAACAAACGAACCAACCCCCCCCCCCAAACAAAACAACAATCAAACAACAAACAAAATGCGGGAATTGTTTTTGAAAAACGATAATCAAATGGCCCAGACCAATCTTACTAGAACCTAACTAGAAGAGGGGTTTTCTTATTTAGTTTCATTCATTCTGCTTCCATGAAAGATGAGATTTTTCCCAATCTTTGGGTGAATGCTGTCTAGAGAGACGTTCTTTCTAGATGTCCCTGAAAGACGACAAAGCCATCACTGGACCAGCGGGTACCTGCTGAACCTTCGTCTTTTACAGGTCACGTTCGAGAAATCCAAAGAAACGTCTAGAAAGAAAACGCACTCCCAAATAAGAAATATAGTAAGCC